AACTAAGTCACACTAAAATCACAAAAAATCGAATTTTGGGCCTTATAAGCCCCTAAATTTAAAATTTGTAAAAATCTAATTTTCTACCTCAAGGTTTATGATACTAATTTGAAAGCAATAAAAGTAACATTTAATTAACAATTAGAAGGCTAGATAAGTCTGAAATAAGAAGTTTCATAATTTCCCTTAATTTTTTTCATTTTTAATTAGTCATTTTGGGTCCGCTATTGAAAATTTTTAAAAACTGACTTCATATTCGTAATCAGGGACCCCGAAAACCCCTTGGAACTAAGTTACACTAAAATCACCTTTAAATCCACAAAAAATCGAATTTTGGGCCCAAATTTAACTTTGGGCCCACAAGTTACCACATGTCTGAAAAGAGGAAATCACTGGCTACAAGAATCTGAGTTTGAAAATACTTGGTTCCATTTAAAAAATTTACTTTTTTGTCTGTAGGGCCCACATAAGGCCCTGGGCCCGTTTTTTAATTATACAATTTAATAGATTTTTTTCCACCCGACAACTTTTGTATACAACATTTTTCTCAAAAACTATTTCCTTTCAAGATATTTTGGGGGTCCGGAACATAAAAATCACCCTGTATATTAAAATTCTAATAAAATTGCCTATGGAAATTTTTTATTTATCATAAATCTTAGTAACAAAATTTTCACTTTGACTACTTATTCACAAATATTGTAATTCTGAAAAAATGTTTATTTGAATTTACGAAATGCGAGTTTCACATAAAATCCCTCATATACTACCAAAAAAAAAAAAAAAAAAAAAAAAAAATGTTTTTTATTATCTATTGTACATATTATAAATATGAATAATTTTCAAATACAGTTTTAATAATTTGAAGACTATTCTTATGTTTATTTGTTTTATTAATAATTTAACTTATGAAAAAAGTAAAAACATATTTGGGGGAGGAAGAATATTTTGACTAACACCAAACACATTTATAAAACTAAAACTGGCGCAAAATTGGAAGAGACTGGCCTTTTTCTTAAATATATATAAAAAAAAGGGTGTGTTACAATCTATATATATATATATATTTATGTACACTGCGAAAAAAAAATTTATTTGATTTAAATAATCAGTTATTTGAATCAAATATATATTTTTTTCAGTGCGTATATAATTGAAAAACACTAATTGATTTTGAAATGAAACTTTAAGATTTAAACATATTATAATACATATGTTGTGTCCAAATATACATATTGTTTCGGTCGAATACATAAGTTCGACACATTCACAGTCCCTTCCCATATATCGGTCTATATCTCCACTGACGCGTAACAAAGTATCAGAAGACAGAAGAGTTCGTGACTCCTTCAAATAACTTTTATAATAATAAAACTTTTTCCATAACTTATTGAATTTTAAATATAATTTCAAAAAATCATCCTAAATAATAATAATTATTATAATAATAATATAATAATAATAATAATAATAATAATAATAAAAGTATATTTTTCAAAAAATCTAAAAACTTAATATGACCAATATTATTACAGAATAATTAAATATTAATAATTAAGAGAAAACTTTCACCAATAAAAATAACAACTGAAAATAAAACATATATATTTTTAGAATTCCCTATAACCCATTTTTCTATTTTTTTTTGTGATTTTTTTTTTTTTTTCGTTTAGACGTTGACTTTGAGTCAAGTGATTTTTTTTCCCACAATTTTTTTTTTACTCGAATTTCTATCTAAATAACACAGGTCCTACAACTTTTTTTTTTTTTTTTGCTTGTAGGTATACATATTTAAAAAGCTTTATAATAAAATGTCGATTTATTATATATAACCAATATATATATATAACTCAACTTCACTGACAGTATATTTAAAATTGCACTACAGTTTTATATAATTGCTATTGCACGCGTCCTCAATTATATATGATATTCTTTGGCATCACTATTTAGATTATTATAAATAGGCATTTTTCGGATATAATAACTGCTATATAGTTTAAATGATTTTATTATTATCTGTCCTTCCTTTGATTCTTTCACTTTTTTTTTGTTTATGATTATAATAATAATTAGTCTTTGATAATCTGATAATTATCATTTTTTTTTTTCAAATAATTAGACATTATATAATTATTTGCATTTTTAATAAATCATTAAATATAGTAATTGCCACATTAATAGAGCATTTTATCTGAGATTTTTATTTAATTTATTTTTTTGACTGGAACTTTTTTTTCGAAATCGTTATGAAAAATAATACAGTGAAAAAAATTTATTTGATTCAAATAATCGGTTACTTATTGACTTTTAAAAATATTTATTTGAATCAAATAAATCTTTATTTAAACCAAATAAATGTTTATTTAAACTAAATAAATATTTATTTGGTAATATTTATTTATTTGAAGAATCAACTATCATTTAATTGACTCAAATAATAATGATTTGATAATAGTCAAGTCACTAATTATTTGAATTAAATAATTTTTTTTTAAAATAATAAATAAATAATTTTTAATGAAAATTTCACATGGAATGCCCCATGTAATATGTATTTAATTAACGCAAACGAAAACATTTCAATTAAATTGAATTAATATAATTTTTTTAAAAAAATGCACAATTTTGAAATTTAAATGTTAAATTGATAAGTAAATTTAATTTAATTTAAATTTAACATTACAAATTTTGTGAGAAAATTTTTATTATACGTAAATATAAATAAAATTTTTTTTTTAGTCATTCCAAAATATTTTTTGTCATATGCGTTATTAATATCAGTTTAAAAAGGAGAAGTTCAGGATTTTAATTCAAAGTATATTTATATAAAAACTTATTTTAAAATGTGTCTGAAATTATATTGGAATTAGTTTTGAAAGTATTGAGGTATAAATTTTTACTGAACCACTTTAGTAAGATTTTCAATTGAAATTCAGTCATATTTCACTGAAAATTAGTACAATTCTTTACCTATTGAAACATTAAAATCTGTTTTACCGATTGAAACATTTAAATCTGTTTTAACGATTAACGATAATGCAGATTTGACTATATTTTAATTTGTAATAATTCAATTGATTTTCAGTTATAAATGTGACTGAATTTCAATGGAAATTTCACTAAAGTAATTCAGTTGCTAAATTCCAATTATCACACAGAAAAAAATTCTTGTTTTAAGAAGAAAATTCCTTCTCTAAAATCGTCTCCAATTTTTATACTTGAAACAAGAATAATACTTTTAAACGGATAGTAATTTTTTTCTTTTTTTAAGAGGATTGTAATAAGAGGAGATTAATTTTTTTAAAGAATTAATTACTTTAAATTCAGCATTAAATTTAAACGCTAATTAAAAAATTTTTAATTATTTTTTTCAACCTATTTATGTATAAATAAACATTATAAATTATTATATAATGAATAAATTCATGAACTTCAATGTATACATATACCTATATATTTTTTTTATAAATGTTTATGACTTTAATATGCAATTATATAAAGTTAATTTATACGACTTTTTATTTATATTATATATATATAAGGAGAATTTTCAAACCAGTTAATTTCCTTTCACGGCAATAAGTTTCATTCAAATTCTGTGGAGTCACAAAGGTTTCGCTCGAGGGACGAAATTATTCCGCGAGGAATGCTGATTTTATACTCTCACGGTTTTATTCAAACAAAGCATATCGCGCGTCTGAGTGAGTTTTATCGCAACTTATTTTTTTAAATACACTTTTTTTATCTTCCTTATAAAAAAAAATTAAAATGAAGTGAAATAATAAGTTAGGAAACATGCATCAGTTATTTATAAAAGACCTAAAGTCTCTCATCTCTCTCTACATTCATTTATATATATATATATAATTCGCTAAAATATATATATTATATTCCATTAGAACGATATAAATGTCTAAAAAGAGCAAAAAAATAAATAAAATTCGTGATATTTAACAAGCTTTTGAATGTATCCTTTGAAATATTTTTGAACCAGTGTTTTTAATAAAATATAATAATAATAATAATAATAATATTAGTAAAATAATAATAAATTTTTTCATTTTATTCTGATTGAAGTAATTCATATATTCGTGAATCTTTTTTCTCGTAATTTTATAATTATGCAATATGAATGCAAAAAGGGAAAAAAACAGTATAAGTGAAGGTGTTGTGGAACGTTGACAAGAGCAGGAATAATTGGAGGAAATTGCGATGAATTGGCATGGGGGATAAAAATAGAAGGGATGAATATAAAGGTAGATGAAAAGGGGCTGAGGAGAAAAACGAGGTGAATGAATGAGATATATATATACAAAGAGAGAAAGAGTGTAGAGGTATATATATATATGTAGTTAAATAGGGAGCGATGAGTATGATAAACATTGATAGAGATACGAGAGGGTGTCGAATCGAGTGATCGCTGAAATACCGGAAAATAAATGAATTTAATTAGAATAAATTTTAATTCTCCAATTCAAAGAGAATACACGATTTAAAACAAATTGCTTCCAATAAAAGAAAATATGAAACAAAAGTGTACAAATTTAAGTTACACGCATCCATCAGGAAAAACTGGACATTTAAACAACTGCAGCTGATCGGCTGATTACGACATTGATGTCAAATTTCCAAAATTAAAAATAAATTCAAATATATATAGCAGTCGAAAATTTTAAAATCGTTTGGTTCTTACTTAAATCTATTGTTTCTCGGAGATATAATTCAAGTTACAAAATCCGCCGATGTCAATTTTTCAAAATTCAAAATTACGGATTCAATATTGAGGTCGAAGTAATTTTAAAACCGTTTGTGACTGATAAAACACCTCGCATATAGTAAAAAATATTAAGTAAATTAAATAAATTTTAAAAATTTGTCCGCCATTTTGTATTTTGAAAAACTAACATTGGATTCGTAATCAGAGAGTAACGAGTTTTAAAGTATTTCGAACAATTTTTAAAAAATATATATTCTATTTCGAATAAATTTTATTTGCTTTAAATAAAAATTTTATTCGCTCTAAATAAAATGTTATTTGTGGTAAATTAAATTTTTTATTTGACACAAATAAAATAGTTATTATAGGCACTGAGACAAATATTTTTTTCTGATTCAAAATAAATTTTATTCACCTCTCAAATAAACGTAAATAAAAAATTTCTCTGATGTGTGAAAGATTAAAATTCAGCGTCAAAATTTACGTTAGGATTTTCATTGTTCATGACAAAAACTGTTAAATTGATTCAATTTATAATAGTTATATAATATAATTAGTGAAATATATAATATATAATTTAGTGAAAATATATACACGAAAAAGAATATACTTCAATCAGAAATATATGCATTAAAAAATGATATTTATATACAGATAAGCGATTTGGAAAATACGAAAACAAGTTTTAATTTCTCATTTTAAAAAGAAAACAAATAATTATCAATTTGGAAAGAATCTTAAGAAGGACGATTGGAAACATTAAAAAATCCTGCTCTTTGATTTCTATATTGGGACGCGACCACAGCTTGTGGATTTGGTATATGCCTTATGCCTAAGTTTGGTCTAATTTTCATACCGAATCCGCTGATCCTCTGATGTGGTTGAGGTATCCTTAAGGCAACTTTGCTGCCGACGTTCATACTGCCAGTAATGATGGTTTCCGAGGTTGTTGACTTTGCCGACGAACCACCACCACCACCACAATCGCTCAGCAAGGAAACTGCGGCATCGGACAATGTTCGTAAATTCAAATCCTGTGACTTCCGTTCATCCTTGGATTTACCAGAAAGTCCAATTGCACTGGCCCGCGATTCATTGTTATTTATTTTACTTTTTGTCTTACTACCACCCGGATGATTTGACGATGATAAATCTAAAATATTTGCAATTTTCATACTCTCACCACCACTACTACTACTACTTAAATCAAGTGGAATTTCACATTTTTGCGTAAATGAATTTGAATAACTTGCAATATTATTATTTCTCTTTGTTGTACGTAATGGTGCCAATGGTGGGGGACCCTTTCGTTTAATATTATTATTATTTCCAATTGTATTTGTGTTTCCTTTATCTTTTGAATTTGACATCATACTCTTTAAGGCATCGCGCATTTGTTTTTCAGCTAAAAGACTTCTTACTCTATTGGCCTTACTCTCACGCAATTGTTGTTCAAGTTTCTCTCGATTGAGAGACTCCTCTTTCTCGGTGTTATTCTGCGAAATCTTCATCTTATCACGATGCGTCTTATTCGCTTCCTTGATTGCCACAAGACCAAGTCGTCGTAGTACCTCCTCATCTTTTGGTTTATCTTCTTCAATTGATTCTTTATTCATTGACTCTTCATTTTTATGCCCCTCTGGATGGTCTATTGCTTTTGTTTGTGAATTGATATTTTGAGCAATTTTGACAATCTCATCCGGTATACCGTCAATTATTTCTTCAATTGATTCTTCAGTTTTTGAAGAATTGGTGGTAGTTGAAGTAGTTGTAGAAGTATTAGAAATATTAGAAGTATTGGTAGAACTAGTAGTAGTAGTAGTAGAAGTAGTAGTAGTAGTAGTGTTTTCCATGGAATTTTCTTCGCGAATTGAATTATTTCGCTGTTTATTACTTGATGTAGTCTTAATTTTCTCTCTTCTAACAGCCCTCATTTGAAGAAGTTTTTCTTTGGTTTGATTATTCGTGCTTGAAGTTATACGCGGTGGACATGGCGTTAATCTAACCTTAAGCTTGAGTAAATCCTCCCTTGGTGTGGTTGTGATTTCAGCAATTACACGTTTATTTCTTCGTTTTCTTCGTTTGTGATGCTCAAGCTTAGCGACCTTGTCCGGTTTGGCGGCATTTTCCGTTGGAAGATGATGATGATTATTATTATTATTGTTGTTGTTGTTTCCTGGCGGATCGGGCGCCCTCATCACCGGTGTAACTTCACAGCGTGGCTTTTTTACCTCTGGCTCCTTTCCACACTCGACGTTCGTTGAAGTATGTGATCGACCTTTCTCTAGTGGGAGGGACGCATCGGTATGCGAGATCGGCGGCTTTGGACTAGGCGGTGGAGTAGGCGGCCTCTGTATATTCTCTATCACTTCAGTCGACTCCTTATTACTGGCTTCTTCCCCACAAGAAGTCGCTATCTGGACCTGATCCAACTCTTCTTTTGATACAAAACAATAGTATAGTTTCATGGGAGATTCCTGGAACAGAAATTTTATCCGATCCATGACACCGACTATAGCCCTTTATTTATATATATATATATACCTTATTCCATTGTATAACGAAAGGAAGAAAAAAAACATTTATTCCTACAGTGAAAGAAATGATTTCATTTTGCTGAAATAATTATACGCAAGTATCAGTATTTTTTGTGGTATTTAGGATCATGGAAGAATTGAATGAAATTCCATGCAAGTTTAGTGTAAGTTTATAATTCTTAGTCGCAATTTCAAATACACAAGTAAATGTGTAATTTTACCAAATACATTTATCTATATGCAACGTTACCAAAAAAAACTAAGTGATTTAACAAACAAAATTTTTGAAATATATATAGAATGGGTGAGCCAATTATTATTATAGATTTACAATAGTTTTCTGTTTTTAAAATAAAACAACCAAGTTGTCTTTACATCTTATTTAAACAATTTTTTCGCAAAATTAAATGTAATGTGAAATTTATAGGCTCTTGATCTTAAAAGGGCCTAGCTACGCTCGAATTTGCGCATCACAAGTTTTGACACTGCAGTGTTAAAATTTTGAAATTTTTGGTTAAACGATAAGAATCAACTATATGTTAAAATTTGGTCAACAATTATAAAATTTTAACTCCATAGGAACCAAAACTTGTGATGCAGATTCGAGCGTAGGCTACACGGAGAAAACAGGGTAATAAAAACAAAGTATAAAATGACAGGGAGTTTGGTATAATTCTTTAACAGCATTTTGTATATAAAAAGAGTAAGAAATTATATATGGAAATTAAAAATAACTATGCTTACATAGTAGAAACTCTAACTTTGAAAATTTACTTGACGTTGATATTAAAATTTGCGTTACACTTGGAGAAATTTAAAATTCATGATGTGTGATTTTATGCTTTTTAAATTTAACAATTTTAATTATACATACTTTCGTATAAAATGCGGTTTACAAACAATAAAATATTATAGAAAATAAAGTAAATAGTTCGAAATAAAGAGGAAACAGTCAAATCCATAATGCTACAAAATGCATGTAGTTTAAACAATTATTTCCAGAGTAAGTAAATGAAGATTTGCAGTGCATTGCTTGAAAAAGTGATTTGCAGAATGGGAATATTTGCTCGTCAGGTAGGCGCTTTTCCCCCATGTTTTTGAAGTAAGTTTCCCGCAATAGATCTATCAAAAAATGTCTTTATATTAAGTACTTTGTGTGAAATCAAACATAGTAAAAATAATTTTTCTTTTAACAATTTTCACGATTATGAAAAAGATTAAACGTACTTCCGAAAGTATATTTCACATGTTGTATAAAGCAGTAAATATTTTAACCTATCTGGGTATTTTTACAAAAAGAATATAAATATATACTTATTTTGAACTTATTTTTAGCCAAAAATTTCTTGAAAAATAATAATGAAATAGGGAAAATTTAATATGTTTAAATAAAAACGTTTTGTGCATCGTGTAACGACGCAGCGTGACATGATGTGTCAACTAGTTGTGATCGACATCTCAAGACGACAGCATCCATGTAGTTTTTGTGAAGTGAGAAATATTTATTATAACCTTCCTTCCGGTGAATTAATTTTAAGGTAAGAGAATATAATTTCAATATAATGCCAAACAATTTTATTCTAATATTTTCGAAAAATATCGATAGCATCGCTTTGCTTAATTCTCCCTGTGCCAATAGAAACGTCTTAACCATTGATGCAGTTTTATTAATAGATACTAATACTTAATTTCTTTATAAACAGATAAACATTGAATTCAACTGTATATTTCCAAATAAGGGAAATAATTTGTTCCACATTTGGAAAGATATTCGCCAGGAAATTGCACTTTTGCTAAGAAGTAAATTGAAAAGTAATGAAGACAAAGAGTCTAGAAACTATATATACTTTTACAGAAAATAAAAAACTGAAGATGATCCATATTAGGGTAGAAACGTCTTACAGAAAGAGAAATAAAATAACCATCTTTAATTTTTTACCAATTGTACAATATAACAATTATTATGAAAAATTTTGTGTCAAAATAATACTGACTCGAAGTGGTAAAAGTTTTACACTTTATTTTTGTTTTCCATTTTTCTTCATGCAGATATAATATATAAATCTTCTTGACATTATCGTAGACTGATAAAGAAAAAAATTTAAAGAAGATAAAAGCATAAATTTCTTTTTTATTTATATAAAAAAATACACGAAGGTATATATATATATATATATATAATAACTCTAATATTAAATGCATTTATAAATTAAAGGAAAAAAACGATCATATATATATAGCTTATAACAAAATTTAGCAAAATTTCATAATTTACCGCAATTAATCTATCACCGCATATATACGCTACGAATATTAGATAATTTAGAAAGCGTATATTCTTGAACTCATAAAAAATCCATTCTATCGCTATAACTAAATTATAGTCTCCTCTATACCGCGAGCCAAGTAGAAATAGAGTGCATCACTTTGATCTATATATGAAAAGAGGAATATGAAATTTCTAGTAAAAATTACTGCGGTGACACTGAAAGACAAATGGAAAATACTAAAACCCTAATTATTTTTTCTAATCTATTATATGTAAATTAATATACATTTTTATTTTCAGAACGAGAAATTATTGCATATCTTTGTTGCAAAACAAAAATATTTTACGCCACACGCAGTATAAATTTTTATCTTTGAAACTATGCCATAAGTCACGACAACCGATTTTAAAAATTCTTATTGCATTCTTTTCTGTGGAATTTTCTTTAACGACTAAAACTCCAATATACTAATAAATAAAAATTTACAAGACCCCTTAACCCGTAAAGATCATAAGGGGTCAAAATGACCCCAAAAAAAAGTTTGCGGCTAAGTCTCTTAAAATTGATAATTAAAAATAATATAAATGATAAAATAATAAAATAAATAAATTTTCCTAACTTTATTCTGTAAATTGTAACTTACCTTAATTAATTAACTTAATGTAAATCTCACTGAATTGTTGTTTCTAAATTTTAATTATTTCATCAGTAAAATCTCATATATTGCTTTAAATTTATAGAGAAAAATAAACATTAAATTAAAATACTTCTTTTTGCAGTTAATTTAATTATAAATTACCAGTAAAAAAAAAGTCTTATTTAAAAGCAGAAAATTCTTATTTTAAGATGAAACATTTTTAAGGCAGCCTTTATACTATAAATATGCAATTAATTTAAGGATATACCACTTTAAACATCCTAAAATTTAACTATTTTCTCAAATTTTTTCTACGATTCCTATAAATTATATATATTGATCTAGATCTGTTTTAATTCAACAAAGACAATTTTAAACAGCAGTATACAATAAAATCCCATTTCCAAAAAACCTTTGAGTATCAAGTTTTAAGCGAATCTGGTCAATTTCTATATACTTTTCTTTCGCCCTATTGATTCCACCATTTTGTAATTCTTAATTTTAACATCAAATTCAAATTTAGCGACCCAAAAAATTTTAGAATACCCACACGGAGAAAAAAGATTTCTTTTATAAAGTAACTTTTACTACTTTCAGAGTAAAACTGGACCAACTCGAAGTTTCTGCGCATCTCTGGCAATTTTTACTCCAAAAATAGTAAAATTTACTCTTAAAATAGTAAAACTTACTACGGAAACAGTAAAATTTACTACAGAAATAATAAATTTTACTATTTTTGGAGTAAAAATTGCCAGAGATGCGCAGAAACTTCGAGTTGGTCCAGTTTTACTCTGAAAGTAGTAAAAATTACTTTTTCTTTTTCTCCGTGCATGGAAACTTAAATTAAGTTTGATTTATAGTATGTTCTTTCAAGTTATGGAGAAAAATTTATTGGTACTGATTACAATAGTATAGAACATTACTGTTCGGATATGTGGATATTTTTTGTAACGCTTACAAGAGCTTTATGTTATTTATCATTCCTCAAGTTGACTGTATACTTATTACGAATTTATTGAAAATAAATACAAAGTAAATTTGAATAAATTACATACACATAACACAGCCCCACAAAAAAAAGTGTCATGTACTTTTGACCGGAATACCGTAACCCTATGTATTTTGACGCGCTGAACACGAATCCGAAGTCCGTTTTGCCCCATCACGTCAGGATTTTTTTCTAACCTCAAAAAACATGTCGGATTTTGAGAAGTAGGCGATTTTTTTAAAAATTGATGTATTAACTTCAAACTTGGTATCTGGGGGTTTTTTTGTGTCGCTGATTACGAATCTGAAGTTAGATTTTCAAAATCAAAAATGGCGGATCCAATATGGCGGACGAATTTTGAAAAAATTTTAAGATTTACTTCAAACTTGGTATCTAGGGGTTTTTTTGGGTCACTGATTACGAATCTGATTTCAGATTTCCGAAATTCGATATGTCTGATTAAATATTAAGAAATTATTTTTAAAAAATTGTCAGATTTTTATGAAATTTGGTATCTACAGGTTTTCTAAGTTGCTAACAAGTAACACTAGGGAAGTGCCGTGCGTTGTTTTTTCTGAAACTTGGCAGTTTTGTAGTTTTTTTGAAAACAATTTGACACATATTTTTTTGTTTTTCCCTAAAGTTGATTTAAGGCGGGAAACTACCCCTTGATTTTTTTTGGGGGGGAGGGGGACATTATTTTACGAAATTTTTTAAAAATTAATGTTCAATAGTGTATCTAGGGGTTTTTTGGGTCGCAGATTACGAATCTGATGTCAGATTTCAAAAATTCAAAATGGCATATCCAACATGGACTTCTATCGGCCATATTAGATACGCCATTTTCAATTTTTGAAAACTGACATCAGATTCGTAATCAGCGACCCAAAACACCTCTAGATACCAAGTTTGAAGTAAATAAATTAATTTTTTAAAAAATCGCCTATCTCTCAAAATCCGACATGTTTTTTGAGGTTAGAAAAAAATCCTGACGTGATGGAGCAAAACGGACTTCAGATTCGTGTTCAGCGCATGTTTAGTACATGACACTTTTTTTTGTGGGGCTGTGTAATCTGTTATTTAATTTTTTTTATCTTCTAAGTTTGAATTTGTCCGATTAAGTGTGGTTTTTTCAATTTAAAAAAAAAAAACTGTGGGTGATGGACCAATTCTGACTTCATATTCGTTTTCAGCAGGCCAAAATACTATAATACGAAAGGTATATGTCTAGTTCTATAGAAACAGACAACTTTTTTTTGTACCTGTGTTATATATCTAATAAAATTATTGAAAATGAAAATTCTAATTGATTTTTATTGGGTAATCATGTGCCCCTTAATTTTAAGGCATTGTTAAGTGGTATGAACCCTTTTAACAGGATGATTTAGCAGTGCTGAATTTCCGACTCATCTTAAAATAAGATTTTCTTTTTTCATTTAACTGAACGACTTTTTAAAAAAGTATTTTTATCTAAAGAAAATATAACTCAATTCTAAAAATATTCTTTCCAATTTATACTTTATAAAATATACTTACATTTTTCCATTCAAAAATGCAAGCAAGATCCAAAAGGGTCCATGATGTTTCAAGTATTTGCAACCGGCTTTCCGTTTCGCTTTCATCCACCTCGTACATAATTTCTATCCGATGGCAGGTTGAAGAAGAAGAAGTTCCATCTATATCGTCCCATCCCCTCTTTAGCATTAGTAGTCGTTGGAGATGTCTCACCGTCACGCCAGCTGGGCATTTCAAATAGCGTGTCTTGCCAGTTATTTCATAAAATGTTTTATTCTTCAATTGTTTCGTTCTCTCTTTATTTCCCTTTTTCAATTTAATACCATCGTCAATTGATGATGTTATTTTACCAATTTCGGATATACTCAAACTAACTGGATCGTCGTATGTCAATTCGGGTGAGCCTAAAGGCGGCAATAGTGGCGTACATTGGGGATTGACAATACGAAAATGTCGTCTCTTTTCTGATTCTGATCGAAATAGACCAGGAACAATGAGGTAGACTAATCGTTGCAGCCTTATATCAGAGAAGAGTGGGGGTAAGGTGGGTACATTGCAGACAGGGCAGGCTCTAACTCCGTTACTCAGTCGTCTCACTATGCAGCCTCTGCAAACTGAAGAGCAAACGCGATATCGATGCTGCACTTCTTTTTTTTTTTTTTTTTTTAATTTGCAATTTCATCTTTTAGCCATTTCTTTTTTTACAAATATTTCACTCTACTATTATAAGGATTTGGAAATTTATTATTTCTTGTAAAATATACACAGAAAGAAAATTTCTTTGACAAAGTTGTCATTAATACAAAGAAAAAAAATCTTTTCTCTGAGTGTAATACTAGAAATTTTATGTTCATATATTTTCGAGACGCATGAATAAGTTCTAAAATTAATTTGTTAGAATTTTTATTTAACAGAATTTCATGATTTAGAATTTACTTTTAGCTGAATTTTTAACTTTTCGAATTATTATGGTACTGAATTTCCATTTAACAGAATTTCTACTCTCTAAATCTGAATTAGTAGTTTTCTACTAATAAAAGAGTGCGTATTCATTTACCAATTGAATTAGTAACAGTTTTGACTAATTTTTAGTAAAAAAAACAACTAATTGCTAGTAGGAAACTATTAATTCATTAGTAAGTCGTATTTTTTACTATTTCAAATTAGTAAGCCGATTTACCCCATGAATTAGTAGTTTTTTTTTTACTAAAAATTAGTCAAAACTGTTACTAATTCAATTGGTAAACGAATACACTGAAAAAAATAGTATTGAATCAAGAAAACCTATGTACTTGACCGTATTTTATACCAATATTTTCTTGATCCAAGAAAATTTACTTCAAACTAATAAAAATTTCTTGGATCAAGAAAATATTGGTATAAAATACGATGAAGTACATAGGTTTTCTTGATTCAATACTTTTTTTTCAGTGTACGCACTCTTTCATTAGTAGAAAACTACTAATTCAGATTTAGATATAGTATATCACAGAATTATTATATTTAAACGAATTTTCATTTTGCAGAAAGAAAATTAAAAATTCAATTTCAGTCGAATTTGAATTTGTCCGAATTATTATTTACTCGAATTTTCATTAGACAGAATAGTCATTTAAAAGAATTTATATATTTTACAGATTCTGACATTATGTTTTAGATAAACAATAAAGCATCGATTGTGCAACGATTGAGCATCGATGCTCCATTAGAAGAGCAGTACTGCCAACTGCTGGAAAAAAAACAATGTTCAAATTTTTTCCATTTTTTATTTTGTTTACCAACTAACACATAACCTCCAAATCTGTTTTGTGGTTGCAAGATTAATCAGATTACTAAAACGTGAACTACAAAAAAAATTTGGAAGTTATGTGTCAGTTTGTAAACAAAACAAAAACTTAAAAAAAAAAATTGAACATTGTTTTTTTCAGTAGTTGGCAGTACTGCGCTTCTATTTGAGCGTCGATGCTGAAACGTTGCACAATCAACGGTTTATCGTTCACCTAAAACCTATTGTGGAAGCGACCTGAAATAAAAATTTGTGTTAAGAGAAATTCTATAACATGAAAATTATACGTTAAAAATTTCGTACCTAAAAAATCTGTTAAGTAAAAATTAGTTTAAAAATATCAAATGCTACTTCGAAGAACGAAAATTCGACTAAATAATATTATCTATTAAAATTCTTTAGAAAAAAAAAAACAATTTAACTGCTGATTTTAATGAAAAATTCATGCATCCCGATTAGAATAATAAATTTTCCAAAAAATTTTAGTAGAGTGAAATAATTAACTCAAATATAGTGCACCCCTAAAATAAATGTATGATTGCAATATAACTTAGCATATATCTATATATACAAAATGATAAGAATGTATTTAAATAATTTGAGATGCTGATAAAAAAAAAGTTACAGACTTGTTTGGCTTTATTTATCAGCATCAGGACAACACATTAATTAGACAAGAACACATGCAATGAAAATAATATGAATGAACTACATCCAGTGTGTCTCTATATACTAACAGTTGCTTCTTATATGTACATATATATACTTTTTGCGCCACTCCTGCTCAGCTAATTTGTACTATATACACATGCAGATAGAAAAAGGGGCGCCAGACAAATCGGTTGGGAGATATATATGTATATATATTTAATATGAATTAATGATATAAATATAATCCCAAGCATTTTTAATTTTTTTTTTTTTAATATGAAAATACTTTGCGGGTAAAACTGTAAAAAAAAATCATTGTGAGTTAATTTTTATGATTTTATTTACAAAATATGTACAATAAACATAAGACATATGGATACCATTTAGTATCAGCAATTTTAATGAAATAAGCTTTTTGTCCAAAATCCCTCGCAACGAAGCAAAAAAATATAAAATTATATATAAATAAGATAAAACTATAATGTTTAATATGCCACAGAACGTGCAACCACTATCACATGAACGATATATATATATATATATATACATATGTATACTATTTCATTTGAAGCTTCTATAACTAATTTTTTGTTAAATTTAGCGTATATATAGAATATTGGATAAAAAAAAAGTTTTAAAAGATGTATTTAAAAAAAGTTTAAAGTTTATATATATTCAGATATAAAATAAGTGTTTGGTTTACTGGTGCATTGACCCCATATCTATTTTAATGATGCGATGAAGAAAAAGTACTAACAAGAATGTAGGCACTCAACGAGGGTCGTTGCATCTACGAAGTAGCCTCTACACAGAGGACATATGATATGTTCGTTTAAGTCCTTTACAAGCGGCTTTTCCCTCTCGTTTACATCCATATCTTCTTTTTGGTCCTAGAAAAAAAAAAGAAATGGCACACCTTGTCACCTTCAATAAATATTATGCAATAGCTGAGAAAAATAAATTTTTAGTTATTATATATATTACAATGCCATATTTCTTCTATTCAATAGTAACACAATTCTTGAACTAAAAACCTTATCTCTTCACAATAACATGAACCAAAAATTTTGAACGTTCAAATGAATAAAATATTTTTTTCAATCTATAAATTATTAGAAATTATAATGTCAATGTAAAATAAAACAGTAAATTAAACAAATATTAAATTAATATCTTCTTTTTAGATATTTAAAACAATATTTTGTAATAAAATTCTTACTTAAAGAAGTTACAAAAAAAATTTTTTTGTTCATTTGAACGTTCAAAACTTTTGGCTCATCATAATAACTTAGAAAAACGAATTCTTAATTTAAATATAGAGAACAAACGATTTTGATTAAAACACTGTTTGTAATTTTTGTTTTAATAAACGGAAAAAAAATATATATATATCACTTTCATTTAAAAATATTATTTGTTTGAATGAAAATGATAATATGTTTGATATTTAAACTTAAGGGTTAGTTTAGAATATGGGCGTATGTAAATTTCCACTATGGAATAGTAGAACTTTCGAAATATGACAGATTCTTATATTTTTGACACCTGCCTCACTCTGCTTTTCTCTATACTAATTCCCCTTCCTGTACCGAAAAAGAGTTACTATTCCCTGCAAAGTGTCACAATTCAGACGTTCCACTGACTATTTTATATTTGTCAATAAAATTTCGGTTGGTTTCCATTGTCCCCACTCGCTATTTGTCATTTTCGTCAACTACCGCACCCTGCTCTAGTAAAAATTCAGTAATTTTATAGTAACTTTAAAATTTTGACAATAAAATTTCTCAAGTTTTACTAGAGCAGAGTACGGTATAGTTGACGAGAATTAGGACAAATGGCGAGTGGGGACAATTGAAACAACCATACGTGAGATAGAGAAGGACATAAATGTATATTTTTGTCCTTTTCTAATTTAGTATATAAGAGTTTATAAGGTCGCTGATTTCTAATTTGACATTAAAAAAAATTCAAAATGACGGATCCAAGATGGTAGACATAAAAAATTAAAAATAAACCGGATTTGATTGAAATTTATTACTCGGGAGTTTTGCGGGTCACTGATTACGAATTCGATGTTAGTTTTTTTAAGAATTCAAAATGTCGGATTCAATATGGCGGACAAAAATTTAAAAAAATCAACCGGATTTTGCTTAAAATTTGTCACTCGGAGGTTTTTAGGGTCGCTGAATTGAAATCTGATATCAAAATTTAAAATCCAAAAACCCCCGAGTAACAAGTTTTAAACCATTTGGATTCATTTTTTAAAAAAGTCGTCCGCCATATTGTTCACGACCCAACATTGGATCGCTGACACGGAAAGGGTTTCTACTCCATATTTTTTCAGAATTATTATATCATTGATAATTAACACAGCCACACAAAAAAAAAGTACCCGGGCCGGGGAATGAGACCACCATTTCTTGATGTATTTTGATGCGCTGAACACGAATCTGAAGTCCGTTTAGCTCCATCACGTCAGGATTTTGACATAACCTCAAAAAACATAGCTGATTTTAAATGACAGGAGAAATTTTTTAAATAATGGCAGATTTGCTTGAATCTTGTTACTCGGGGGTTTTTGGGGTCGCTGATTACGAATTTAACGTCAGATTTATAAAATTCAAAATGGCGGATCCAATATGGCGGACGAATTTTTAAAAAGTAGTTGGATTTTTACGAAAATTGGTATCTAGAGGTTTGGGGAGTCGCTGATTACAAATTTATCGTCAGATTATTCAAATTCAAAATGGCGGATCCAATATGGCGGACGAATTTTTAAAAAGTAGTTGGATTTTTACGAAAATTGGTATCTAGGGGTTTTGGGAGTCGCTGATTACGAATTTAACGTCAGATTATTCAAATGTAAAATGGCAGATATAGTACGGTGGTCAAATATCTTTATGTTTCTACATGTGTCTGCATCCAGGGCACCTCCGTACTATATCTGCCATTTTACATTTGAATAATCTGACGTTAAATTCGTAATCAGCGACTCCCAAACCCCTAGATACCAATTTTCGTAAAAATCCAACTACTTTTTAAAAATTCGTCCGCCATATTGGATCCGCCATTTTGAATTTTATAAATCTGACGTAAAGTTCGTAAACAGCGACCCCAAAAACCCCCGAGTAACAAGATTCAAGCAAATCTGCCATTATTTAAAAAATTTCTCCTGTCATTTAAAATCAGCTATGTTTTTTGAGGTTATGTCAAAATCCTGACGTGATGGAGCTAAACAGACTTCAGATTCGTGCTCAGCGCATCAAAATACATCAAGAAATGGTGGTCTCATTCCCCGGCCCGGGTACTTTTTTTTTGTGTTGCTGTGTAATTTAATTATTATTTAACAAGGTCTACCAACCTAATATAAAAATTTGTCACTATATAACTTGCCCAAGTTAGTTAAAAATAATTTCATGAAAATTTGTTTCATTTAACAAAAATTATTTGGTTATCTCCAATAAATGCGTATACGCATGCGCGTGTAATCGATGTCAAATTAAATGTATACAGTACATTTCTATCTCTTGTGTACACGTGATCTCCTAACGTGATCAATGAAGAAATCGATAAATGAATTTAATTTATTTTATGTGATTGTTTGTGTCTAGTATAATTGTAAAAAAATGAGTGAATTATAATTGTGTCTTTTTATCATATACCGTGGATGTCCCAGTTGCCGTCCACCTAAGACCTAGTTTCCGTCCAGTTTAATTTTCAAAATAACATTTATAAAAAAAGTATTTTCTATTATTTGTTTACTTAAACTAATAAGTCGATGGCGTGCCAAAAGGAAAAAAAAAATAAATTTCTGTTGTGTGCAGGTTATGTTTATAACTTATATTTTCCCAAAAAACCTTATAAATACATTTTTAATTTTATCACACAATTTAAAAAAAAAAAATATTACATATGTTCATTTATATATTGTGACTTATTATTATTTAAATTATTATTTTTTCAATTATTTTTCTATTAAAAATTAGTTACTGAAACAAAAAGTAAGCAAAAATTTTACTTTTATTTTTCTTAACTAATTCAGATTTAGAGAGCATTCGAATAAAAATAATAATAATTTAGTTAACCAAGAAAATTAATTTTGAACAAATTTTTGTTTCGATTAAAATTTCGTCCAATGAAATAAACCATTATTATTATTCCATTCAGATAAAAGTATTTAATTTGGTTGAATTAACTAAACGTTTAGTCAATTGTGTGTGTGTGTAGCAATGTATTTATTTAGCTCTTTCAAATAAATTTATCTTTTGTTATTTGTTATAAAGATTTAAAACTTTCCTAAAGAGTTTAACTATATTACAAGTGATCTTTTGTATAACTCATATATATGTTTCACTATACATTTTGCTAACTTGACGCATCTGCTTCAAGAATTGAGTGCAGTGAGATTTCACTCTCCAGTCAGCACATATATATTTTATGCCGACTTCATCTATATAATTTATTACAACAACATATGGATCATGAAGATAGTATCATTTTTTATAGTTATAAATCTTGCATATATATATCAATGCATTTAAAAATTCTCTTTAGCTGTTTGTTGATTATAAAAATCTATTATTTTTATTTAAAATGGAGAAATTTGTTTATAATTCAACTAAACAAATCAAATAATTTAAGTGGAAACAATTTTAACCCTTAACTCGTACCATGGGTTAAGGTAGACCCGAGATTTTTTCGAGCTCAAATTAATTGAATGTGTAGCTACACAGAAAATTAAAAGGCATTAAAATAAGCTGCAACGCTTATTATTTTAATCCAATTTTGCTTATTTTAATACCAAAATAGATTAAAATAAGAAAAATTGGATTAAAATAATAAGCGTTGCAGCTTATTTTAATGTCTTTTAATTTTCTGTGTTTTAAATATTTTTTATATTTTAATATATTAGTTTGACATATTCTTAGTAATTTTCTCAGTTTTTTAATATTACAACTAATTCGATACAAGAGAATAAATTAGCTTCAAACATGAATAATTATAAATTTTTAATTTTAACCTAAAAAGTCACATTTTATTCTGCAAAATAAATACCTTTTTTGCAAATCCTGCTGTTGTAAAACTAATTACATTTAAAAAAAAAAACATCATAAGCTACCTCGGATTAAATTTTTGTGCAAAAATATTCAATACCAGCTGTACAATACACGTTTGAATACGTCGGGTCCAGTAAACCCGTTGTGCCATTTATGTTCGATCGCGGAATTGTTTCAGTTATGGGTTAAAATTAATTTTTTTCTTACTAAAATAACTTTCATTTTTTGAGAAAAAAATTTTTAAATTTTAATAGGTTACTACACTGAGAAAAAAAATTTAGTGTTTGCAACAAAATTGTTTGGTTAATCAATTTTGGTTCTTGTAACCAAATGTTTGGTTGGCTGAAACAAAGTCGAAGAGTTATCTTTAACCAAACATTTGGTTAGGACAACAAAATTATTTGATTGAACATTTTTAAATTCCAACCAAAATTTGGTTACGACAACAAAATATTTTGGTTAACACAACAAAATAGTTTGGTCTAATGAACAAAATGATCGTTTGTTGTCCTAACCAAAATTTGGTTGCGACAACCAAATAATTTGATTCGCTCTCAGCTTATAGCTTAAGAGAACAGTTAGTTTATAGCTCTCACAATGATGGGTAGTCCAATGATAAGAGCTCCCGACCTTTAGTTTTAAAACCGAGGTTCAATCCCAGGCGGAGATGAGATTTTTGAAAGTCCACAAATATTTCAATTGGATAAATATAAATTCAATGTTAAATTGATAATAAATAAATAATGAAATAAATAAAAAAAAGATAAAAAGAAAAGAGATAAGCTAGAATAAAATTTTTAATTTTACAAAAAAAACTGTTGGTTTGATCAACC